TATGAGTTAAAAATCTAAATCATCTAGATCAGAAAACTTAAGATTTTTATTTGTCATTGTATTGATTGAGTCCATGACACCTGCCTTTTGGTAATCTGACACACGACTTTCAAAGAAATTTGCCTTCCTTGCTAATGATATATTCTCCATAAAATCAAAAGGATTCTCAACATTCCATTCCTAAAAATAAAATAATCAAAATAAAAATAATTTAAAACTTTCCTATACACACACACTAACATATGAGTAAACATATATTTTAAGCTGACTTAAGACTATTAGAGGTTGGCTTCAAATCAGGAAAAAATTGACATAAAGGTTTTAAAATAAAATATAGAAGTTAGTTTGGCGTCACCTCTAAAATTGTTTGATTTAACCTCAAACAATTTTAGGTTGACAGCAATTAGGTTGACATATATATATATATATATATATATATATATATATATATATATATATATATATATATATATATATATATATATATATATATATATATATATATATATACACACACACATATATATATATATACACATATATATATATATACATGTATATATACATATATACACACACGCGCGCGCGCACACACACACACACATATATATATATATACACACACGTATATATTCATGTATATTTTGAGACTTTTAATGTAAGACTTTTACATTAAGAACATAGAATATATATATAGAAAAATTTCTTTAATTAAATTTTTTATTTTAAAAAATTATTGAGGTTTTAATCCATGTTACACACTTGAGTAACAATTTTCCTGTGAGAGCTATTACATATGGCTTTGAGAATATATAACTAGGCATAGTTAAAGAGATCTAATATTTACAATAATTTTTCAGAAAATGTAGTACTTGTATAAATGTATTAAAATATTAGAAATATCAGTAAAGCAATAAAATACTATATTCTATTTATATTATATTTTTAATGTAAAAAGCACTAAAACATCTATTTAATAAATAAATCCAAAAGTAAAACTAAAAACGAATTTTCAAAACCCAATGCTTTTATGTTATTAAAACATAAATTTTGCAATCAATTTATTCTGATATTACTGTTTTATTTTATTAGCATTTGGCTGTATGCATGTGTAAAAAAACAAAAAAGTTTAAGAAGATGCGGTCTCAAACCACAGACATTCTGTTTATGAAGTCAACGCCTAATCCAAATATCTTAAACACACATAAGTATGAAAACAATCGATATACTTAATTTTAAAATTGTTTTTTCCATATAAAAAATAAACTGTATTATTAAAATTAAAATTAACTAAATTAATCGACTTATTACAAAACTAACTATTGAATATTGTATTGTCATCAAGCAAGAGTATGCAAAATTTGAAGAAAGTCTATCATTAGGAAGTGACTCAAAAATTGATTGCAAGATTTGATGCTTACAGACAGACAAACAGACAGAGACAACGAGTTAATAAAAGCATTGGTAAAAAATCCAAAACCATGCCAAGGTTTCTACAAGTTTTTTTGTTTTGAAAAATAGGACTTTTTTTCAGGATTTTAAAGTGCAAAAATTTTTTTTTTCTTTTGGTTTTAAAAAATTCTTCAATTGGCACTAAATTTTAAGATACAGATGACATACAGGGCATTGGCTAGGAAAATGTTACACAGCGATTCTACAACATTGGAAATTTAGGTCATTGTTGTCCTTATATCATACCCTCTTTGATTCCAGTGCCTACCATGTGTTAGCTATGGGAGAATCTGCAAAAAAACTTTTTTATAATTCACATCTCCATTTCATGTTAGAGGAACAAATCAATTATTAACTATGTCAATTTTGAGCATATATAATGTTTAATTGGTATATATAAAAAGACCTTTGTTATGTGATTTTATAACACAAGACTTTAGATCATACAATAAACTTAACTCAGCTTATCACTTTTTGATTACTTTTATAAAAAAGGTCATAATTTTTCTTTGGTTAAAACAAGGTCAGAAGATCAACTTAAAATTCATAAATTAACAAATATTTGATACAATCTCCTTTAAATTACTGATTTTATTCTTTAAAAACATCAACTTAATTTATGAGTCCAACTCTTATCTCTTGAGAGGCCAATATGACTCGTTCAAATAATTTATCACTAGCTCATTGCTATTATTTTCTTTTTGATGGGAGTTAAGTCAGGCCACTTCATTACAGTGATATTCTTATCCTTAAATCATTATTTTTGAAGGATGTTTGGGGTTATTTTCTTGTTAAAAAAATTATTTTAAGGACTCTCCAATTCAACATGTGACAACTTAACACCTATATCTTTTTTCACAAAGCAGTCTTTAACTCCAGCAATATTCAAAATAGTATCAGTTTCTAACACTCAAAAACATCTTCAAAACATAGACCTTCAATGTTTAACATTCTTATTGGTATATTTAGTGTATCTTAGAAAAACCACTCCAATAATTTGCCTCATAGATATCATAAGATCCAAATGACTTATCAGTTTTGCTTACAGCTCAACGTTTTTCTTTAAATTCTTCAAAGGATATCACAAATTAAATTTACTTTTAGTTTGTTACAAAAATAATAATGTGAGTTAAATAAAGACAGTGATAACAGTGAATTAAATAAAGTCAATAAAATCATATCAAAAATGTACCATTTTAGTATGTACACCTTGTTTAGTCCAACAAATAATGTAGTTGTTTTTTTTTTTGAAACTTAAAATTGATTTAAATGTTCTAAATTTTGTTAAGAATAAACTATTTAGATATTGTTAAGTTTAATTGTTTTACTAATTTATTTTTTTTCATTTTATCCACCTTATTTTCTTCACTAATAAATAATTGCGCGGAAAAAAATCTAAACAAGAGAATGACTGACAATTTGAAAAAACATGATTTCACATAAAGGAAATGTTTTTTTTTAAATTAACTTATTATTATTTATTCCACAACTATTTTCTTATATAAAACGCTTAATTTTCTTATATATAACTTGAATGACTTAAGGTATGTTATTAAAATTTGTAAAATATTGTAAAATGTAAAATATTTAATATCATTGGTATTTAGTAATTGTATTTTTCTAAATAATAATAAAAACCATTTAAATAAAGCGCTTTAAGGTATTTTTTGATAAAAACTTATCAGTATTAACTGATTAAATAATTGGAACTTAATTGGATATTATATTCCTTAACATTTTTTAAAACTAGTTTACTCACAACATGGAGAACAACTATTAAGTTGGGATTTTGATGTGTAAGGAAAAAAACTTAAAATTCTTATTTAAATTTATATTATCTTTATCTAAAATACTGGTTATAGACAATTTCATTCCTTAGTTAAAGTTCTCTTTTTAACAAAAATAAGCAGCTAAAAATGTTTTTTTTTAAAACTTAAGTTAATTTGCATTTATTAAATTTAAGAATTTTTTGCCTGGATTGGACACATAATTTAAATTCAATTCTAAAGAATAAAGATACAGAAATCAAAGCTTTTTATCTGACAACTATTTATTTAAATTTGGAAGAAATATTTAAAAATAAAAGTTTCAATATTTATTTTATTCAACTACTAAATACTACTTTAAATCAGGGGTTGAAATAAGTGCCGGACATCGCCGCCCCTCAGACCATTTTTGAGACCTGCTAGATGAGGACAACAAACCATTTTTTCAGTAAAAATTCATTTTTTCAGTAAAAATGAACAATGGTTGGTTGCCCTCATATAGCAGGTCTCAAAAATGGTCTAAGGGGCGCCGATGTCTGGCACTTATTTCGACCCCTGCTTTAAATAGAAAACAAACTTAAACTCACCTTTGAATAACCAAGAGCATTTATTAATCTATCAGCACAAAATTCAATATATGTTTTCATAAGACTTTTATTCATTCCTAAAAGATCACAGGGTAAAGACTCAGTCAAAAACTCAATTTCAATAGCTACAGCATCTCGAATAATTTGTTTTACTCGTTCTTCAGAAGGCTTGTTTACAATATGTTTATACATAAGACATGCAAAGTCACAATGTAAACCCTCATCTCTACTGATCAATTCATTTGAGAAAGTTACTCCAGGTAAAAGGTTTCTAAATAAATTACATTCAAGTCAAATAAATTAATGTTTAACCAAAACTTTATATCAAGTAAAAAAAATTTTTTTTTTCAGGTTTGGTAATTAATATCTAACTTGACTAAGGTAATATGAACTTTATTTAGAAAGCTCACACTCCTTTCTAACTAAAGTCACTTAACTGGCTAGAGCCAGCATCAAACCTCAGACCTTTTGGTTGTGAGCCAGAACTCTAACCTCTTAATTACGACAGCGTCTAAGCATATTTAACTAAAAATATCTATTATTATCCAAGTGACTAACTAAAAACAACTATTTCTTTTAAAAGTGATTGTTTTAATAGGCCCACTCAGCCCTACTCAAAATAATAAAGGAAAAAATTTAAGATTATAGAAATGTTAAAAAAACTCAATACCTTTTTTTAAGCCAAAATATAGCTGCAAAAGATCCTGAAAAAAAAATTCCTTCCACTGCAGCAAATGCAACAACACGTTCAGAGAAAGAAGCACAATCTTTGTTAATCCATTTTAGTGCCCAAACTGCTTTTTTTTGAACACAGGGCATGGTTTCAATTGCATTAAATAAATTTGACTTTTCTATCGGATCTTTAATGAGAGTATCAATGAGTAAAGAATACATTTCTGAGTGGATGTTTTCAATTGCAATTTGAAACCCATAAAATGCTCTTGCTTCTGGTAGTTGAACTTCTTGACTGAAGCACTCAACCTTGTATTCAGTTTAGTTATGTTAACAAACTATTTTATAATAACTTACTAATAAAGAAATTAAAATGTATACTAAAAACAAATTATAAATCTTACAAGGTTTTCATTAACAATTCCATCGCTAGCAGCAAAGAATGCAAGAACATGAGAGATAAAATACTTTTCCTGAGGCTTCAGCTTTTCTTCCCAATGAACTGCATCAGCAGCCAAATCAACTTCTTCAACTGTCCAAAACGAGGCTTCAGCTTGCTTGTACATTTTCCATATATCTTTATATTGAATTGGAAATAAAACAAACCTTCGGGGATTTTCTCTTAATAATGGTTCATCGCAATTTTCATTTGTTGTCACATGAGGTTTCTATATAAGATATAAATTTTGATATTAGAACTCTTATTAAAAAATAATTCTTTTATCTAATGCTAAAAATCAAATTATTTTAAGAAAATTATGTGGTTAAAGTAATGCTTACTGCTTTTTTTATCTCTTCGGACAAATGCTGCATTGGTTGTTGATTTTGTTTGTATAGTTGGGCAGCCAACTTAGCTTTTGGAGTTAAATTATTATCATTTGTATTTACATTATTTATTAAGTTCGTGTAGTCAGATAAAGGCATTTTTGTATGTGCAATAATTTCTTGATATATCAGCTAAGTTAGTTACAACAGAACACAGAGCAGAAAGCAATGCCCAGTACGATAATATGGTAACGAAATATTGTAAAATAAAAAATTTTTTGTGTTTTTTATAATGAAAATGCTTTCTGATTGGACAATAAAATAATCTTTACGTATAAAATAAGCGGTAAAACGCGCACTTTTTTTCATTATTCTGCTAAAGCAAAGAAGATATTTTAAATAATACTATTTTGCATAAACTGTTAAATATAATGTTTTCATACAAATGTTATTAATTTTTAATAAAAAGTGTTAATTAGATTTGAGTTGATTATTTAAAAATATATAAAAAACGCTTTTTATTTTGTTAAATAATATATTACCCATACGTATTATATAACTTTTTTTTACAAGTTGTGCAATTTATAACTTTTTATAAGTTATGTAATATACAACCTTGTAAAACTTGTAAAAATATAATTAAATCTTTTCAACCTTGGGCGCCCGCAGGATTTTTTGATGTTTCAGATAGGATGCAAATACTTTCACTCATTGTGCAAACTCCAAACTTAAGTATGTTCATACCTATGCCAAATAAGGAGGCCTTGCAAAAAAAACTTGGGATGGCGGAGGCCTGAGATCAAAAAAGTCCCAAAACGCTTGCTCTCCCCCCCCCCCCTTTCCTCTACCCAAACGTGAGGTCACTGATTTTGTAAAATTTTCAACCTTACTATCTTAAACTAAATTTAAATTTATCTACAGGTTTTAAATTTCGTAGAAAAATATTGAAAATTACAAAAGTTATGACCATAGAAATTTTCCAACCCCTCCCCCCCTCCCCCAAATGAGGGTGTGTAAATTTTTATTGTAAAAATATAAATGAATCTTTTCAACCATAGGCGCCCGCAGGATATTTTGATAATAAATATTTTTCAAATGCTCTATAAAGATTACATTATAAAATATTGTAACAAGGTTAACTATAACAAACTATTGTATAACTATTGTTTACAATTATGCTTATTTATTATTTTCAGAATTAAAATTTATAGTTATTAAATATATACATAAATATATATTATATATATATATATATATATATATATATATATATATATATATATATATATATATATATATATATATATATATATATATATATATATATATATATATATATATATATATATATATATTATATATATATATATATATATATATATATATATATATATATATATATATATATATATATATATATATATATATAATAAAAAAAACAAAATTCTACAGGAGGTAGTTGTTCATAATTTTAGAATTTTATAACATGAAATGAAATTGAAATTTAGGTTAAATTAATTTGAAATTTCACAACTTATTTAATATATTTTTTTGCTTTTATATAAAAATAAGAGTAACACACATCTTAGAGTAAAAAAGCCATGTCCAATTTTCGAAAGCATGAGTCCTAAGGAAAAAAAAAACTGTAGAAAAAGTTGTAAAAGAATACAAAAACAAACGTGAACTGGAAGAGTGTGGCTTTGATAAATTTCAAAAAAAAAAAGGCATCTCGTTCGACCAAGTAGTCAAGGTATAGGTTTACAGCTTTTTTTATTCACAATCTCATAATCATAATTTCATTCCAAAACTGTAAAAACAATTCTTTTTTAGACAGACAATGCTACCAACAGCGTCGAAGAACCCTTGAGTCCAAGAAAGTCATCTTTCCCTTCAAATTTTTCCACGGTCTCTGAAGAAGAAGATATTAATCGGGTGAGATTGGACCCATTCTTATTTTATGAAAAACCTGCAGATATTAAAAACAAATTATTTAATATCTGCAGATTCTAAAAAATTGTCATTTAATATCTGAAGATATTAAAAACATACCACTATTTTAAAATGCTTTTTTTAATTTAGCATCAAGAGGCAACTCAACTGGGTGATCAAACAGTTAGAAACGACCTCGGTTTGTGGAAAAGGGTTTTATCTAAAGTCGAACGCAATCTAGTTATACTATATGGACCACCTCAAAATCCGGCACTTTTTCCTAGATATTCTACAAACAAAAAAGTTCCTGTTTTTTACGAAACTTCTCTCAACAGAGAGAAGATCAACAGAGACTGGCTTATCTGGAGTGGAACTACTAAAGCTTTTGTTTGTTTTTCCTTCTCTATTTTTGAACAAAAGCATAATTTTGGCCCTGGAATTCAATCTTTTCTCTTGATGTGGGGTGGCGGAATAAAAGATAACTGACAAAAGCTAGAAGAAAAGATTAAAAGCCACTAGTGCAATGTTCAACGCAGAAATCACTACATCGTCTGGAAATCAGCCTTTAAAGCTTTAAATCAGACCGGAAATTGATTTAAAAGACCGGGATTGATTCAGAACTTGAAACGTCAATAAGAAATCTAGGCATCTAAGTGGTATAATGTTTTACGCTACGTCTTGGATGTCACTCTCCATTTAGCTTCAAGAAGTCTAAATTTTCAAGGTGTGTTAGCTGTTTATGTTCATAAAATAATTTTAATGTTGCTTGGAATATTAATCTAGATGTAACCTTTATTTCAATATTATGTTCATATTTGTGTAGGTTCATCAAACATGCTGGACAAGTATGATAATTGTAATTTTTTAGCCACCCTTGAGCTGTTGGGGAAACAAAATAAGACACCAAAATTCTTCTAGCAGATGTTTCTCGATACCAAAAACAAGGAACAAGAATGCAAGCGCACTATTTGAGCTGGAGAACTCAAAATGAGTTCATTATGGCAAGTGGTGAAACTGTTTTTGCTGCTATTACCGAAGAGGTCCGCACAGCCATTAATTTTTCCATTATTGTTGATTGAACTCCGGACGTGTCATATACAAATCATTTTCATTCTTCGATTTGTCCGCCTAGGATCTGACAACCAATTGATAGTAAAAGAGCGTTTTCTGAAGGTAGAAAATCTGGAGAAAAAAAGGGATTTGACTTGGTATTAAATATTGGCGTATTCTTCCTAGATTGTAGACGGACACGTATCATAATATCTCTATTTATCTCGCCACAAATCGATGCGGAAACTTCTGTCACAATCTTTACCCAGCGTTCCACTGCTTGCGTGTGGCACGGTAACTTATCCAAAAAATCAGATAGTAGAATGTGATGATCTTTTACCTCCTCCAGCAGTTTGTCAGTGAGCTGCATTGTTAATGGTGGCTCCAACAGCTGAAAATTACTCCAATCAATCAACTCCCACGTATTATTTGCCATAAAATTCAGAGTAGGTAGTTTGAACTGATGCATACTTGATTGGTTAGCTTTCATAATTCTTTCTTTTCTAGCTCTCTGTATACGCCTAACACCTAATTCTTCGATATGTGGCTGATCATCTAATACGATTGCCAGAATATTCTCTTGATCACCATAAAATGCATTTGTTTGAACTATTTTGTCTACTACTTTACGTAATGGAACCAGCAGATATCGTGATTTTGCAATTGTGCTGTACAGATACCTGCTGCCATGAAAGAAAGAAGATTCTTTCTTGATGATGAACCACATAGGAGCATAAACTCGCATAATGAACGTAAATAAAATTACCAAATTTGACGAGGGACTGCTGGTAGAAACATATATTCTGAGGATCCTATTGGCAGTGGTGAGCCACTTAAAATGATCCATTTTCCCAGGGCTGCGCTTCTTCAGGTTGGTAGAACAAATACCACTTAATACTGCTTGGCAGATGTCAAAAAGATAAAGTTGATTTGTACTGAGAACTTTTCTGTCCACCTCTGGCATTTCTACATCATGATTTCTAGGTTAAAAATCAACAACCTTTAAGACCTCACAAGTTTCAAGGGACTTTCCAATTAAGCCTGAATAGCATCTAGGACCAGATGTTGGACTATCCAACTCTGCAAACAAATGGCGTAGTTGAAATTTGTTTACATGTAGCAAACAAATTACCCATTGTAGAGGCTGTTGGAGTACTAATTCGATCAATCCACCATTGTTTCCCGTGTTTACATTTGTTCCATCACAACCCACCATTTGCAAATTATCCAAGATAATATTGTGCTTTTTAGAATTGTAGAATTGAAATTTTAGTGATTCAGCTGTTCCTCTAAGAGAAGTGCAGTGTCCCAAGTAACCTCCTCCAGGTTCCTAAATCAAGGATATGTACTCCTGTATCACTATGATTCTTTTATTACTGTAAAAATTGAGTGTTTGGTTTTTTTGCCATCAAAGTACAACGCCTTTACTTGGATTTCACCAACATTCTGGTTATCCCTTGTTTTTATGCACTCACGCCTGATCTTGCTGCGGCTAATAACTTGTGTTTTGTTATCATATGAAATGATAATAAAAAATATCTTTTAAATGAGTTAAAAGTATTACAATAACCTTTTCAATGCAAAAATGAGTATTTTGGTCATATAATACTAATGGATAATACAAACATACCTAATATATTATAACTTCAAAACTTTTTCAAAAAAAATATTTTAAAAAACTTTAAATTTGCGCTTTCAATAATAAGTAATATTGGTCAAAAATTGGTGCTGGGGGTAATTTTTGTCCAATTTTGTTCATCTTGGTCTCATTTTTTTAGTTTTCCTATAATTATTATAGAAATCAGGGAGAAAATATGAATTTCTAAGAAAAGTTGTTTTCACTCCACCCTAATATATATATCGCGAGGTTAGAATTATTTTGTTTTATCTCCACATTTTTTTGTTTCGAGATAAAACGATTTAAAAAATAAAAACTTTAGGAGACGGCATATAAAAAGATTTTTATTACTTATGTTTTCTCCGAAACTTTTTTGATTTTAACTTAGGTTTTAATATAGTAGAAAAATATTATTTTGAGGTACATTACACAATTAATAACTCATTTTTTCCAAAAAGTGGAGATAGAACAAAATAATTCTAACCTCGCGATATATATATATATATATATATATATATATATATATATATATATATATATATATATATACACACACACATATATATATATATATATATATATATATATATATATATATATATATATATATATATATATATATACATTAAGGTAATTCAGAATACTAATATTTAAAATTTTGGTTCTTTTAGAGCTTTCCTTGTTTCATACGACAAAAGTAACTTGGGGACCAAATTTTATGCAAATCGGATAATATTTAAGGACTACTATGTTTTGTGACTTTATTGATCTTATAGTTAAAAAATTGAAAATTTTAAATGTTTTTTTGACCGATTTTATCAATTGTACAAATTATATTTTGTAGTTTAGTAATATTATTTAACAATATAGATGATGTACATTTTGTTTTAGTGTTTGTATTACTTAGTAATCAGCATCATCATCATTGGAGCCGTTTTGGATGCACTAGAAAATTCTTTTCGGTTCTTATCCACCATCTAAAGAAGGAACTGTTTTTGTTCTTCATTTTTTGTAATCGTAAAATTATAGGCTGTGAGTAGAGCTATGCCTCTTTAGGCACAGTCATTAACTACCTTCATCTGACGAACTTTAGGCTGCATTTCAATATAAAATGGATCTTTCAACTATTCTTGTGCTTATTTTGAAAGGAATGACTGTCTTCTCATTACTATTGTTGAACAGGAGAGCAAAGGGCACTGTGTGACAAAATTATATAAATTTCAATGGGCACTGTGTGACAAAATTATATAAAGGACTTTGATGGACTTTGATGGTTGAATTTTGCACTATCTAGTTGCTTGAGAACCTTTCATTGGCTGATGCTGTAGGTTTTTAACCATCTTCTTTTTGACGTTGTCAAAGCGTCAACAAAGAAGGCCAATCTTATCAAGTGTTCCAAGAAGTACCAAAGGTACTTTTTGGAACACTTGATAAGAAAAGAAGTACAAGCATTTGTCCCCAAAAAATTAAAAAATTTTTGGGGACAAATGCTTGTACGTCTACTTCAAATTATTTCGCTTTCTGATAGCCTGTTGTCTTTAGGTCTTTGTGATTTTCAAAAAAAAATACTGCGACATAATAATAACTTATAAATAATTAGCCACCAAAAGGTGACTAAAGATTGAGATTTTCTTCGCAAAAGTTTGGTAACCCAATTTTGACGTCAATATTTCATACATTAAACATCAACAAAGTTTTTAAATAAAGTTTGGTAACCCAATTATGACGTCAATATTTCATTATTGGCACTTAATCTTTAAACTTCTTGTTAATTTAAAAACAAACGTTGAATCGCTTCTTCTTCTGACAAAAATACCGTTTATAATTTAATGATTGAAGCTATTAGAACTTTCCAACTATGAAATAGCTAATAGACCCACCTTCATTTTTTTCTTCGCACATAATATTTTGAAAAATCAGTTAAAGTGGTTACAAAAGTAAAAGTTTCTGTATGAGGTTTGGAAAAAGAAGCGGGTTTGTGGGAGCAAGGATGAATAATAAAAAAAATCTTACTCAACCTTAATTTAAAACAAAATTTCAGCAGTTTAACAAAATTGTAAACAAAATAATTTTTTTAAACTAATTTACTCCCAACAAGAGTGAAAACAAATAGATATAAATACAAATAATAGATATACTAAAGTACAAACTATCCTCATTAAATCGCCCAAGATAATTGTAATACTTGTCTTTTTTATATATGCATATTTGTCTAGACAAATTAATAAATTAATATGTAATTTAACAAATCTTTTATGTTTATATTATGTCTTGACATTCCATTATTTTAAAATTTTATAAATTAAAAAAAAAGTAAAAAAAACTCCAAAGTAATGAATTTTGAACAAAACTGTTTTTTTTTATTATCTCTGAAGTCTTTTTTTGTTTTTATTTTAATGGCCTTTGTTTAAATTTATTTTGAGTAATTCTGAATAACTGTAAACATTACGCTAAGTTGAAAAAAATTTCAAAGCTTTAGAAACATGGCGATAAGTTGAAAAAAATTTCAAAGCTTTAGAAACTAAGATTTATTACCTTTTATTTACTCCCAGGTCCGGATCCTATTCTTTTTAAAAATCAAGGGATATGATCACTTGATTTTTAAATATAGAGATAAATGCAATTTTATCTCTTGATAAATCATGAGATCTATTAGATTTGGTTTTAATTCAATCAAACATATGTCCTGTAAGCAATTGAATCAAAATCCAAACCTTGATTTTTCTGAATATGAAGCCCTTTCCCTTAAAACTCACTCGTACTTATCTAAGCGTCACTTGTTTATATTCTATATGGTGCGGATGCCTATCAATTGCAATTGTTAAATCAATCAATCAATCAATTATATATTCTGGAAAAAAGATCTAACTTCCACGGTCGTTACAAATAGTTATAAAAACTAATATAAAGTAAAAGCCTCTTTGATGATATAAAACATATTATAGACACATTGTTATAGTTATAATAAAAATAGCAATAAATTTACAAAACAACAATAATAAAAATAATTAATTGTATAATAATAAGAATAACAATAATAATATTACCAGTAAGTATAATTAACACCCAATAATAATGAATAAAATAAAAACATGATAATAATAAATACAATACATATATAACGGAATTGTCAAATAAATATTTAATAGAAGGCTGTTCATTAAATACGTCAACAAAAATTATAAAAACCAGTAACTAAAAGAATTAAATCAATACAATCTTGCATACAACAATCAATTATATATACATAGTTACAGTTACAAACAGTAATAAACTGACAAAATGTAACTAATAACGATGACATAAAAACGATTATCGATAAAAGAATACCAAGACTCGATAAATATAACAATTTTAGTTTTTATAATATAATAGCAAAAATATATTGTAAGTATAATAAACAAATAAAGTAAATATAAACAGAGGTTAATAAAAGTAAAAAATGCATTAAATGCATACACAAAAATAAATGACATATAAATATAACAATAAAAATACACATCAATATAAACAATGTATTCACTAAACAAAACTTATAATTTTTTTTCTTGTTCTTTTCTTTTAATGACATTATTGTTTCTGGTAGACTAACGTAATTCATTTCGTATTTTTTTTTTTTTTTTTCTTTACATTTTCGAACTATTTTTTCTTTTACCAAATCTTTTTTTTTTTATTTGGTACGTTATTTTGACTTGCTTTTTATCTTTATTTGTTTGTATCTTTTGATCTTGTTTTCACTTCATTTTGTTTTATAATTTGATATTTTTAAAAACGATTTTTTGATTTTTTTTTTCTCCATTTGATTTCTTTCCTTTTTTACCGTTAAATAAAAACATCCTCCATTTGCGATGTCATTGCAAAGGATTGAATAAATATGTAATAAAAATGTAATAAAAAAATACTTATTATAGCAATAACAACTTTTTTTAAACTAAGGACAACATTAACGGTTAAACTTTAATGTAAATAGGTTAATAATCAATTAAAATGATTTAAGACAACGTCTTAATGAGCATTATATATATAATTAAGAAATGTATATATAAATAAGCATTTATAGAGCAGTATATATGATTAAGCATTTATAGCTCAAGACAACATCAGTCGGTTAAAGAATGGTATATATTAGTCAAAATTTATACAAATGTGTAAAGTTATTATATACAAGTATATATATATATATATATTTATCAAATCTAGAAAATCAACATAAATTAGGATTCACTAGTTTTCTCATTTACTATATTGTTAAAGCTATCAAGTCCGGTGCTAATACTATGCTCCTCGCTTAAAACGTCATGCTCCCCGTTTGAAACTTCATTATTACAGTCATAACTATTTTGCTGAGAGCTTTCAACCAAGTATTCTTCTTCGTCAGATATTATTTTGAGCCAACGATCATGATTCTTCTGAATATTATCTATGACAACATTAAAGGCTGCTTTTTTCTTTACTGATGATTTTGGAAAGTCACTATCCTCTTCACTGTCAGAGTTATTATCTACCTCAGAATCAATCCATTCACCCGGTAAAATTCCAGCTTTTTCGTAAGCTGCATAAAGAGGTAAAACCAAATGTTTTATAAAAGAACACTGAAGCTGAGGAACTTTTCCATCGTTTCGATCCATATAAGGAGAAACTGGCATACCAAATGTTTTTTCGTCTTCACCCTAAATATGCATTTTATATTTAGCATATGCAAGTTATCATGTGCATTATCTTTAACTTAGCAATTAAAAACATCAATTAGAAATAAAAAATGTCATCATTTATTAAATAGGGTCTGTAAAATTCGATTTAAATATTTACGACAATTCCCAAGAGAGCCCTTTGGAGGTATGAATACACACATATGGTAAAGCATAAGGCCGTGTGAACAAAAATGAGCAATTCCTTTTCTCAGTAATTGCTCAGCTTTACGCGAATAAAAACTTTAGTCGTTTTGCTCAAAATTTTACTCACGTAAATTTAAGCAATTTACTTAGTAATTGCTCAGCTTTATGTGAACAAAAAATTAAGAGTTTTTATTCATGTTAAGCTGACCAATTACTTAGTAAAATCAATTGCTCATTTTTATTCACCCGGCCTATTATGTCCAACTTAAAATTTTTTTGGATTTTAAAATTTGGCATAAGTTAATATTAAAATTATTAATATTTAATATTAATTTTTTTTTTTTAATTTAATTTTAATATTAATTTTTAATTAATATTAATTTTGAATTAATATTAATTTTTAATATTATATTAATAATTAATATCATATTAATAATTTTAATATTATATTAATATTATATTAATAATTTTAATATTATATTAATTATTTATAATATATTTATATTTTTATTTTATTTATTTTTTTATATTTTTATTTTATTTATATTTTTATTTTATTTATACTTTTATTTTATTTATATAATTATTTATAATATATTTATAATAAATATTATATAAAATTATATTAATAATTTTAATATTATATTAATAATTAATATTAATTTTAATTAATTTAATTTAATATTAATTAAGTTAATATTAATATTTAAAAGTCTTAAAATAAGCGGTTTGATAAATAAAGTAGTTAAAGTTTTCGCTATTATTACAAAAGTTTTCGCACGCCATTATTACAAAAGTTAACATGTAAAATATACTTGTTAAAAAAAGTTTAATAAGCTATTATTTATAATCTTTCTAATCAAATTATTCAGAAACAGAAAAAGAATTTATCGATCATTTCATAAAACGATCGTATAAACGTATTAAATGTAACACGACGTTAATAAATTAAACGTAAAAAAATTAAAACAATTTTTTTTTTAAATTATTTAACATTGTAAATATTAATTTAGGATTTTATTTTAGATTTTGTTGAGGAATAACAACAATTCTAAGTAGTTTTATGTTTTCTAAGTACAACAATTTTAAGTAGTTTTATTTATAAAAAAGAAATGTTTATTTCTTTTGTAATAAAAAAAATAAAAAATCAATTGTTAGTTAGCTAAACTACACGTTAACTTTAATTTGAACTTAATTTAAAAATTAATAAGTTAGAATAAGAGGCATGAAACTTTTTATAGAAATCAATTTATATCAATTTTTAGATTTTATTAGCCCATCAATATCAATTTATAAAATAAATTAAAGAATTATTCAAATCAATATTTAGATCTTTAATTTTTTTAAATTTTATTTTAATTTAATTGTTAAGGACATGTAACATTCTGTATCTTATAAAGGTAGAACTCAAACTAAATGATCTTTTTGCGTTATATTTAGTAATAGAATTATTTATTTTTTAAAAAAGTTAACCTTTTTCCATGATCTCAACTGACTTTCCATGATCTCAAACAATACTAAAAGTTTGTCAGGAAGTAAAATGATTGTAAAAAACTTTTGAAAAAAGGATTGTATTATCTTTCTAAGGATTTTTTGCAATCTTTTGAAAGATAATACAATCCTTAAATAAAATGATACAATACTTTTTTTAAAGGATCGTTTGAATCCTTTGAAAAAAGGATTGTATCATTTCTTTAATACGATACTTTTTTTTTGTCAAGAAATCAAATGAATTGTTTTATATTTTAAAAAACCGGAAGCCAAATAAGCATCCTGTAAATTTGTACATAATAACATTTGTATACAATAACATTAATACATTTTTTGAATTAATTCTTAATTAAAATAGTTTTGTGGTGGTTTAAAGAAGATAATGCCCACACCCTGTTGGGAAAAAGATGTGCTTAAAACGTAAAGAAAATGTTTTAAAACATATTATTTAACAATAATAAACTTTTTTAGACGCCTAAGACACGTCTTAACACACTGGGTAAATATGAAAATAAAATAAAAAGAATTTAAAAATTGTATTACGGTTAAACGTTACGCATTTTTTATTCATCATTATATATGATGAATAATGTATATAATATGTGTGTATCCTAGTAAACACAAGATGTGTTTAAGACGTCTATGTGGGATAAAATTACCCTAAATAGTTATTTTGGACAAAATTATTTACCCTAATTAGTTATTTGGGACAAAATTAACCTAAATAAATAAAAATGCTTTACAAGATAAAGAAAACAAAACCTACTAAAATCAGTCAATATATGTAGGGGAGAGTGGGTTGCCATGATTTTTGTTTTGTAATAATTTTTTGAACAAGATTTTTTTTAAGGCGATTGGTGCTATTTATAGACTTTACGCATACCTACAAAACTAAATTCATTTATTACCAAATTATAACAGGTTAAACTTGTGAAAATATTTAAAGTAAAATTAGAAAATTGCATCAAGGTATCCCACTCATGGCGTATCTTAGTGCAACCTATGAGCACCATTAGAAAAATAAATAAAAAGTATAATTTTTTTTTTTTTACAAAAAAGCAAATTTTTGCTTTAAAGACAAACAAATTAATTATTATAACCCAAATAATTCCATCCAAATCACATTCCAGAAATGCATATTTTAGAAATAATATATTGTTTTAAAATTATTCTTAAGCGTCAATAAATAATGGCTTTGTATCGAAATTAGATCTCCTAATATTAAATTTACATAAATCTTTTGAAAATTGACTCTAAATATATATAAAAAAAAATGATTTTCAAGATTGTATATGACACAATGGAGTGCTATTATACAGAAATATAAAATAGAAAACAATAGCTTTATTTTTAGTAGCAATTTTTTTTCAATAGCTTTATTTATTAGAGTAAGCTGCTTATGGAATGTAGGTTACAAAATAATGATACAATCTGATAAACACATGCCTTGATTCTTAGTCTGAATAAATACCTTAAAACTTTGCAACTTTAAAAACCAATAAATTACTCTGTTGTCAAAATAACAACCAAAAAATCAACCCCATGCAGATCTAATGATAGAAACTTTTTGTCCAAACATAGCTTTAGTAGTAACTGTTTCACCATAAAAATATGGTTGTCACAAACCTTGACGTGTCTCCACAATTGCAATGCTTCAAGTTGCCCCACTCCCCCCTACTGTATCTTTTTTATAAATGTATATGTTCCCATTTTTACTAATTTTTATTGTAGTATTATTTATTGGCCTTCTTGGTTTTATTAAATGATGCCTTTATTTAACATTATTATAGCTGCTTACAAAAAATCCAAATAGAGCTTTTTTAATCTTTATGAACTGTTTAGTGTAAAAAATATTCAGTCTAAAAAATATTCAGTCTAAAATAATCAGTCTAAAACTGATATTTTTTGAACTGTTTAGTAGGAAACTTTGATGGGGCTAATTTGATGGGACCATTTTATCCTTGGCTGTTTTGACGTCATCAATAATAATTGAAAAACAAAAACAAAACAGCAATAGTTTTGTTTTCAGTACTATTATTAACAATGGTAATAATAAAAATAATGATAATAGCAACAATAATAACAGTATTAGTAACATTAAAAATAATAACAGCAAAAGTAATAATAATAAAATGAAAAAAAATATGATGATAAAATAAAAAGTAAAGAATTAAAAAATGAAAACCTGAAGATAAAACTCCTCAACAATACGATCTGTCCACCTACGATGAAGACTCCATTCTTTACTTGGACCAGCAATGTCAGCTACTTTAATCATCATCTGCCCGACTAACAATCTGTCTGATTCATTAGTATAATCTAAACCACCCCCCTGACCAGAAACCTTTATAAAAAAATATAATTTTTTTTTTTAAAAAGTTAAGAAAATTAAAAGACATAATAAAATTAAAAAGTACCTTAGCATTCCACTCTGTAAGAAAATCAAAATGTTTTTTCAGATCAGTAGACAAAATCTCTTCTATCACAATAAATCGAAATCTCTTAAAGTCTACTAAATCAAGTTCTTGAAGGAAGTTCATCTCCGGATTTGTAACAAGTAAAGACCACGCAGCAGCCGCATGGTGATTTTCAAGGACTGAACGATCATTATACAACAAAGCCTGAGATTTAAAATAAACATGCAAGTAAAAAACTATATAAAACATAAATGCTTGTAAAAAGAAATTATCAACAAGGTTATTTATATAAATAAATGTACATGGAATTAAAAATTGTATTTTTATTTATATGGAAGATAATGCTGCTGTTAAAAAACAACAGCACAAAAATTAACAGATTAAAAACCCATAACAGATTTTTGTTTAATAAGTTGCAATACCTTATTTACCATCAAAACACCATGTTTTAAAAAAATAAAGTTTTTATAAAAAATGGGTTTATACTAGACCATTTAAATAATTTCTAAATTTTATGAAAACGTTTTTAGCAATGGGGCCAAGCTGTAGTTGAGTAGTTTTCTACTAAATCTAACAGATCTCATGAAACCTACGTCAGATTTTTTCACTTTTGGAAAAATAATTTAATCTGCTAAAAATTTATTAAGAAAAAAAATTTATTATGATTTGTTTGAGAAGATATTGCCTAAAGTTTACAGAGGTACTAAACCTCCCCCAACCAGGTAAGTTGAGCAACTGTGTGGGGCAAGTTGAGTATCATGTTGATTATTAGGTTGAGTATTAAGTTAAGTAATCAATGAATAAATGAATATGCATGGATATAAAACTTGGATATAAAATCTTGGATATAAAACTTGGATATAAAAATGGATATAAAACTTTGATATAAAATCATCAATAAAATAATAGTTTAATTGATGATCAGTGTGTCTACAAATTTAAAACTTTTTATTTTATACATTTTAATGACATAAGTAAGAGAAGAGAAAAAACTAAATAGTATGAATAAATGTGTCATAAAATACATATATGTATATGTATATATAAGGGTACTTTCTTTTGAGGAATTATTTGAATTTCAATATACTACCCTTTGAAACATAGAACATTGGTGTTAAAAATGACTTTGGAAAATATTAGTCTGATTGGATCTGATCTCCCCCATGGCCCTTTTTTATTTTTTAAAAAAAGGTCTAAAAAAATGTCTATTTTTGAATATCTTTGCTATTTTTTGGGGTAAAAAGTGTTAAAATCTTGAAAAAAGTTTATTTAGCTTAAAAATATCAGAACTATATAATACTTTATTTAAAAATTTTTATTTTGTATATGATTAATTATTTCATAATATTTATGCCTTAATAAACATTCTACTTTTTTACACTACAAAAAAAATAAAGTACTTATCAACCTAATAGAAGATTTGCAGTAGAAATCTAGAGAAATTTACAATTTTGAAGTTTATGGTTTGTTTGAATTTTTTTTTTTTTTTTTTACATTTATTTATACATTTTTATACATTTAATTTGTTTATGTTGAATAATAAAAAAGATTAAAAACAGAGATGAAGAAAAAGATCTTAGGTCAAGAAAAAGGTTTTTTTTTTCTCATTGGAGAAGCTAATATCAGGTAGTTTTTTTTTCATTCAAATAAATTACTGTACAATAAATTACTGTACAATATCTTTATTTGCATGCACATGCAAATCAAGTGATAATGCTACAGATTTATCACTATCGTTTTTATATACTGCAAGGTATATAAAATACTTGTTAAGGTACCAACTGGAATGGGTATACTAAAAGACATTTATTATATTAATTATAAATCTACACTGGCAACGAATGTGAAAAAGTCTTCAATACTGTGTTACATGCCAACTAGCATTATAGAGATTCAGAGTGAAGATGGCATTGCAAGTCCATTTTATCTATGATTAAAGTTTCTTGGAATAAAGCTGGGATTCCAATAGTTTCTTACAAAAACCTTAGAAAGCTAATCTAGTTTTTAAAAAAAGATCAAAAAAGTGTTCTGGATTGGTGTACCAAATCTTAGAGATATCATAATGATGGACAAATAAAGACAAAACTGAAGATTTAAAGTTTTTGGATGTTCAAGAAAACCATATAAAGTGATCCTTGGAACTGAGGATAAAAATTATATTAAAATGTCTAGAGAAAGAATTAGAAAAAAAACTTTCAAAAGAAAACACAATACTCTAAAAGTTAAAGCAAATTTAGAACAGGAAACAACTGTAAATAAAAACGATACTGAAATGATTATGAAACACAAAGAGTGAGAATCAAAAGGCACATTCGTAGTAGATAGGCTTTCAACCATTTCCTAAAATATATGGCTAGTATATACTCAAAACAAAATTTTGAGTTAGCAACATGGTATTTATTATTTTCCAACTGTATAATTTATAATAAAAACATCAAAAATGTTACATTTTAGAGAATCTTAGCTTTAGATAATCAAATGATTCAGACTTTGAACCTGAGGACTGGACAAGGAGAAAAGAAATAAATTTTGAAAAATCAATTACATGCACAATTCCTAAAGATATTTATAGTGGTAATGTTGCTTTGCAGGATCTGTTAGCACCTGCAGTACTTCAAAATGTTGTAACTTCAGTTCTTCATAAAGCTGGTAGTGATTTAAGTAAATCAATTGAAGTATTTCAGCAGTCTCGTCACTTATGAAAAAAGTAAATTTAATAATAAGTAAACAAGTCAGAGATGGTATTAAAGCTGCTTTAAAAGCCTTGAAAGATCTGATGGTAAGGTTTATCTTCTCAGAGTACCTTCTCTTGTATCTTCCTCAGGTGAAGATCAGTATAAAGATGTAATGAATCTCCTTGTAGACACCATGTACTAGAGCTGTAGACACCATGTACTAGAGCTGAAAATTGTCCACTTTTGAAATGTTGTGACACAAAAAAAGACTTCTGGACCAGACAATTCTTTATTTAAAAAACTCAAAGATACATCCTGATTTTTATTATGATATTTACAAATTATTTTTGGTATAAAACAAAAGAAACCATTGTTGAGTTCAGCAGTTGAGTCACATAAAACAAAAGAAACTATTGTTGAGTTCAGCAGTTGAGTCACATAATTTCTGAAAAGAATACATCAAAAGCGAAAAAAATTTAAGAGATGATAGAAAAGAACTTGCTGAGCTAGTTGTTCCTTATTTGTCAGCTAGAGATATAAAAACTATGAAAGCAGGAGCTGTCCATTATCCAAGGTTATTTGGAAAAGCCATATATTATCTCAAATTGCAACTTTTTTTAAATCAGATTAAATTTTTTCAGGAAGATAAACTACTTTTTGAATAAATAAGCATCATGACAGTATTCATAGCATTTTACAGCATTTATAGCATATTTATAATATTTATAGCATAGGAATTTATGCAAAATAGAATCGGATAGGAAAAACAAAGAGTTAGAGACTGGCTTACCCTCCCACCTCAATAAAACTCAATCAAAATCTTTAAAGATTTTTCTAAATCATTAATTGCTGTAAATGACCCTGCTGAAAGAGCACTGGGAATGATGCAGAAGTTTGTGAAAAGATACAATAAAAAGAAGAAATTCAGAAAAGATTGCTTACTGTTGATAAAGCCAGATAAACTGTAAAAAGGCCAGGAAAAAAGTCTTCAAATTCATCCAAGAAAAAGTTAATTGATTCACTTTCTGCAATTGCAAAAAAAAAAAAAAATGTAAAAATTATAAAATTTAGTTTATTTATTATATGAATAAATTAAAAATTGAATCATTGTTTTTTTACTTTAATAATAAATGTGTCTATTAAAGAAAAAAAAAACATAAAAGGCAAAATCTTTTACAAGAAGTTCTTCCATTCCAAAAAGTACATTAAATTTTTTTTTGTTAGAGAAGAGTATGAAATAAAATTATAGACATTTATTTTTCACCAAATCAAGCAAAATCAAATCAATAATTTTTTTTTATTTTTGAGACTAGAATAAGTCTCACAGTTAAAAGATAAATAAAAAAATTAAATAACTTTACAGTAACTCTCCTATAACGCAATATTCCTACAACGCGAAACTCCATATAACGCGAAGTGAAAGTTGGAACTGTTGAACCTATAATGCGGCATGATCTCCATATAACACAATTTTTGCAAAAACTTTCGTTATTTACACTACTTTCGTTAAACCCTCAGTCGATGTATGTAATTCTCAATATAAAGGACTTTTATTATGGTCAAAAAAAACTTTTCTTTTCCTTCTTATTCTGATAAAACTGTTTGGATTTAAAAAAAGTTTTTTGGATCTAAAAAAAGTTTTTCAAGAGTATGTCATGTCATGTTGGGTCTCAAAAGAAATTATATAAAAAATTCAAAAATGATCATTAGTTTATAAAAAACACAAAGAGAAAATTTATAAATAAAATTTTGCGTAGAAGTGCATAACTTTTGTTTTTAGTTAAGAAATGTAATTTTCTAGGCAGTAAAATCTAAAATAATAACTATTATATAAAAGAATAACTGTTTTTGAAACTTTTTAAATATTTTCCTTCCTTTGAGACTCAACATGATATACTTCTAAAGTACTTTTTTTAAATTAGGGACCTGTCCGCTGTTTAATGCTTTTAAGTCAAAAATATTTTTTATTCAAAAAATTTGAACTACACACAAAAAAACCATAATATCAAATAAGTTAAAAATTATAAAAAACTATAAACCTTAGGGTTTGATGTAGCAACTAAAAAAGCATTAGTACGCCCTGGATGGTCAAAATCATGCATAGCTGCAGCAGTATATAGAGCCATCAGTTCTAACTCAGGCATAACATTCCCCATATATCCATAAGAGTAATCATCTTCATATATATCATTTTCTAAAGTGAGGTCATCTTTGATTAAACTGTCTATAGCTGCATTAGAAGTGAAACCAGGAATTTTATGCTTGGTCAAGTAATAAACTCCATGTAAAACATCTGCTGCGTGAATACGATTATGGTCTTAAAAAAAAAAAAAATTATATAAACAGTTAAAAACCTAACATAAATAACTAAAAATACTATTAAAAAAATTAGTTTAGTATAACAATAACAAATAATCTTACAAGGAATATTGTGGTAACCAGCTTCCAGAGCTCGAAAGTATTTCAAAAAAGGAATCTCTGGAATTTTGAATGTTTTAAAGAAGTTGGATTTTTGAAAAATTCGTAATGCAACCTAAAAATATACATTATAATGAGATGACATTTTTATTAAGATAATTTTTTTATTCATGATAAGACAATCATAAATATTCAAAACAAAATAATAAAATTTTAATAAAAAATAATTAAACATATTTAAATTATTAATAGGCCCCAAGTGAAATTACTTTTATAAGAAAATGTAAAACTACATATTAAAATTTTTTAGGAAACATTTAGTTCATTTTTCATTTTATTAGCTGAATAAAATAAAGAACAATTATAATATAAAAATCTTATTCGCAAGGTATAAGCAAAGTCACCCTATTCATTTTTCTATTTTAGTAAATAAATTGCTTAAATAAGTAAATGAACATTTTATTCATTTATAGTATTAAGTATAAGAGCAGAAAACTTAGTCTTTACAAAAGCTTTTAAAGTTAAATCATTTTACTTATACTTTTATAGTTTTACTTATACATTTATAGTATTAAGTATAAGAGCAGAATATTTACTTAGTCTTTACAAAAGCTTTTAAAGCAAAATCATTTAAAATGCATAACTTTCATAAAAATAAAATGATTTATTAAAGCAACAAAAATTTCTGATTGTTTAACAAATTGACCTCAATAAAATTACTGTTTGTTAGTCTTCATAAACAAAATAAGCAAACATGTGATAGTTATCTAGTATTAGGCGGCTTACTTCATAAGCAAGAAGTTCCGAGTTTGATCACCACCACATCCCTGGTAATACCGCACTCAACTTTTTTCTCTGAGCAGCAGCCTTGTTTATCAAGGTTCATGTTTCGAAGTTAAAGAGTTGAGAGAGGGTTGCAACTACAATAAAGTGGCTTTTTTGACTGTCAAACTATGTTTACAATGCGTTTTTGCACCTTGTCTTAAAGAGAAAGGGCATAATACGAAGATCCACTCCAGATATGGCAACAGTATTCCATACAAGGACAGATTTGAGATTTAAGAGAAAAATAAGAAAGAAAGTGGCAAGCACGATAAAGAGATGCAACCTTAGCAGATGCTAATTTTGCAATAGATGTGATATATTATTTCCAAGAAAGATCGAAAGTAAGAGTTAATCCTAGAAGACGAAAAGTAGATGACTCATTAAGTACATTACCATTCATAAATATAGGATCTAGAATGTTGCAATATTAATTAGCTGAAAAAAATTGAATTTTATCAAAATTAAATTTACCAGCCACTGAGAGCCCCATGCTGTAGGAGAAGTGAGATCCTTTTCAATCTCCCTCCAAGCAATCAGAGGGTGTTGGCTTCTTATCAAGACAAAAATAAATGGTAGTTTCATCAGCAAACAATGCCACCTTAGATGTGAGAGTTTTAGGGAGATTGTTAATGTGTATTAAAAAAAGTATAGGTTTAAGAATCGAACCTTGAGGAACCCCTAAAGTTACAGGAAATGAAGAAGAGTGCTGTTTATCGAGGACAACTTTTATACTACGATTGGTAAGGAAGGATTCAATAATCTTAAAAATGTTACCTGATACACCGTAAGAACAGAGTTTATGGAAAAGACCAGCATGCCAAACTTAATCAAAGGCTTTAGAATTGTTGAGAGCAATAGTCCTGACCTCTCCACATCTATCTAATACAAGATAAAACCTATCAGTTACTGTTAACAAATCAGCAGAAAAATGAGAAGATCAAAATCCATATCAATGATCAGAAAGTAAGTCATTAGATTCAAGATGAGAGATTAAGTGTTTGTAAATTGAACACTCAAAAATCTCGCTTATGATATGAAAAAGACTAATGGGACGGTAGTTAGACAAGTCAGATTGTTCTCCAAAATTTTTGAAAATAGGGATAACAGATGCTGCTTTCTAGCAGAATGGAAAACAAGACTCTGATAAGCACTTGTATAGTTGACAGCTCTGGAGAACACTTATGCAAAACTATAACAGGTATGTTGTCCAAACCACAAGCTGTAGAAAAGTCTAAGTAGGAAATTACTTTAGATACAGAAGCTGGAGTAATACGAATGTCAAGCAATGGATCAACCTGTTTGTTGACTATATTAGGTAGGATATGATTAGTGGAATCAAAAGATGAGATTGATGAAAAGTTCTTAGCAAACAATTCAGCTTTGTCTTAACAAAATCTGAACCTTGCAAGAGAGATGGAATAACAGATTTTCCCTTATTATAGACACTGTTAAAGATTCTTCAGAAGTCTCTGCAGACTAACTTTTGAGATGAAAAACGAGATTCTGTGACTGGAGAATAACAGACCTTGGTGTCAGGCAAAACCTTTTTACAATGGTTTCTAGCAATAGTAAACAGACAACTGTTTTCTAAAGAATTGTTTTGGCGATAAATATGGAAGTAATGGTTATGATTGGAAATTGCAGCAGCACATGAGAGGAAAACTATGGAGAAGAGTAAGGTTTGACTTGGAATCATCAAGAGGGAATAAAAAATTCCATGCCAGCCTGAACCCAAAAAGTTACATAAAAAGCACATTTATCAGCAGAGAGACAAAAGATTTCTACCCAAGGCCTATCACAAAGAAAATCATGGAAAGAGTCCCAGTCAGCTTTAAGGGAGTTGTATGAGGTCAGGCCTTGCGATAAAGCGTCAGACGATGTGAATTTTACGTCGTCCAAGAGCGGTTTTGCGTGTAGAGCTATTTGCGTTGAGCAAAAAATTTTTTGTTTGAGTATATTTAAAGATATTTTTGAGCGGAATTTTAATGAAGTAATTTACGATTATTTTAACATTTATTAAAGTATTTTAAAAACCGCACGCAGTTGATATAAAAGTTTGAATTACAAAAAAATTAAATATCCTCATTATTTACAAGTAGAAAAAATTCAGATTAAAAAAAAAGTTTACATTTTTTTTAAGCTAACATTTTAATAAAATTATTCAGCAATAGCAAAATTGTCGATAAAATTGAACAAAAATACTTTCTTTTAGTTTTAGATTTTTAACTTAATTATTTTACGGGGGTTTGTTAGGTTTTAAAATTATTCCATAGATTTAAAAATATTTATTAACTGTTAGACGTATTTACTCTTAAAGTATTTAAGAGTAATTTCGAGGAAACATTTTAAAAATTGGTGAGCGCAAATAAAAAAAAATAAAAGGATTAATGTTAAAACGTATTCTACTTGATTCAATAAAAAAGTACAGCTATTTAACTCGAAAAAAATTGCTTAAATAATAACAATCGCTTTTTTGTTAAAAGTTACTGAAACTCAATGAAGCGTGCTCAAGAACAACTGCTGAAAAATAGAACGTCAATAGTTTTTCGAATAATTTTTAAGAATAATTTTTTCGCTGAAATATGTCTTTTATACCTATAAGATTTTTATTCTAACATTTTATTTTATTTTATCAAAAATAAAATTTCTTGTAAAAATCTATTCAAAACGTTCGTTAAAGTTTTTTAGTAATACCAGTGATTGTGCTTATCAACCGCTTTATGGAAATAAATAAAATTAAATAAATAAATAAATATTATATAAAATTGCTAGTAAAAATATTAGCTATTGCACAGTTTTTAATCGTACAATATAAAATTTCCAGTTAATAAATCGCTGACTTTTTAAAAAGAAAAAATAATTATTTGAAACACTTTAAATTACATATTTGAGAAAATCTAATATTAGCATATTTTATAATCTTTTTTAAATGTTTAGTTATAATGTTTTTTATTCGTTTAGTAGACAAAACGCGTCAAACGTCGAGAAAATAAACCAATGTTTTTACATTTCAAAAAACGAAACATTCCAAAACATTTTTAAATAATAACATTTCTACATTAACGATTTAAAGTAGTTTTGCGGTAATTAAGTAAATTGGTGCAGTTAATGTTGATAAATATGAAAAGCCAATAAATAGAATTTAATGACGTCAAAAATCACGTCGTGCTTATGCGTCGCGCATTTTTTATTCATCACAAGGCCTGTGAGGTACAATGATAGGGGAATTCTGATGATGAAGAATCAGATAATAGTTTTAGAGAGATCAAACAATGATCAGAAGCACCTAAGGGTGAATGTTGAGAAACTGAGCACTGACTAAGATCAGAAAGAAGACACAAGTCGAGTAGAAAGGTTAAATGATTTGGATTGTCCAGAAAACAATTTGGAAAGTTGATTTTTTGTGTTAGACATTAAAAAAGGCAAAAGTTGTGGGCCTTAATGTCTGCAGAGTCACTGACACTAGAAACAACCCATTCAGTGTGATGAGCAATAAAGTCACCAACAACAATGATATTGGCTGAAAGTTAGAGAGAAAGGACTTTTTTTTTTTCTTAATTTACCTCCTCAAGGCCGAGAAGGCCACTACAGACGAGGAGGCTACTTATTTGTGGCTATAACCCTCTATCAACTCTATAACTCCGAAACATGAACCTTGACAAACAAGGCCGCTGCTCGGAGACACGAGTTGATCTTTTCTCAAGTTGATCAATTTGACTTGGTCAAATTGATTAGAAATAACATCAAAATGAGTCTTGAGATGAAGGAGAGCGATATAGAACAAAGAGAAAGACAATAGAGTGAAACAACAACAATATTGGCTGATGGATAAAGAATGAGGGCTTGGTCAATATAATCAGAAAGAACATCAAGAAGAGTGCAGTCTTGAGATGAAGGAGAGCGATATAGAACAAAGAGAAAGGTGATAGATTGAAATGGTGATAAACAAAATCACATAAAAGAATAGTCTGTGGATTCAAATCTAGTTTCCCGACAAATGGGTTAATTCTTACAAACGTTAATGTCTAGGCCAAGCATGTGACTATCTTTCTGAAAACATCAACACTAAGATCACAGCTGAGTTCAGGTGAAACAGCTGAACTCAAATTAGTCTCACAAAGAACAAGTAGGTCTAGTGAACTTTGCAAAAGATAAGACTCAACAGAACAAAAATTACTTGTAAAACCACTATTATTAGTGAATGATAGATTTAGAAAACTTGGTGATGACAATTTAGAATTTTGAAATTTGGTGATGACGATTTGGAATTATGAAATGAGAAATTTATTTTATTTTTAATTAGTATATAGTAAACATAATCCTCAATTATAAAGTAATTGAACAAACTTGTGGTTGCTTATAAAACATTTAAAAAAAAAAATACTATAGACTTTCTTTTACCATTTCATATTCTTAATAAAATACCTTTTCCTTATTAAAGTTGACATGCTCACATCTTTAACTTTTTTTTTTTTGAAATAAATGTTGAATTTCCACCTACCAACACCATAAAAATCATTTTTTTTCAAGTTTAGATTTATAAGAAAATTTAAAGATAGATATTTAAATTAAAAGATACATAAAATGCCCTTAATAAAAACTTTCACTTATTTCCTTATTCTTCTTAAAAATTATATTATTATTATTATTATTCTGAAAAAACTGTCAGGATTAAACTATCTATGTTTTGAGTTTTGTATGAATGTACACAAGATATCATTGGTAGCACCCAGGGTCAGACGGGCATTTAGGGGCCCGGGGGAGACATGTAGATGCAGGGCCGCCTGAAATATAAAAATTTCCCTATATTATTTATAAAGGACCTTTTTTTTTTCATTTGTGCCCCTTGGATATCTACGTTAAACCCTTAATTTTATAGTTAGAGGCCATTACCAGAGGGCCCTTAATAACATAGCAGGGGCCCAGACCTTTGGTCATAGCAGGGGCCTGAGGAGAAGGGAGGGAATACCCCCAACCTCTACTGCTACAAGGGAGGGAATACCCTCAACCTCTCCAAGTATCTGTTTTAGCTAGTCCAACCCTGATAGCACCACTATTTCATAGGGGTTTGAACTATTTATGTATATATGTGTGTGGGTGTGTATATATATATATTATATATATATATTTATATTATATATATATATATATATATATATATATATATATATATATATATATATATAGATATATATATATATATATATATATTATATATACATATATTATATATACATATATTATATATATTTATATTATATATATTTATATTATATTATTATATATATATATATATATATATATATATATATATATATATATATATATATATATATATATATATATATATATATATATATATATATATATATATATATATATATATATATATATATATATATATATATATATATATATATATATATATATATATATATATATATATATATATATATATACACACACACACATGTATATATGTATATACAGAGATCAAAATGTCAGACATCAGTGCTCCTCAGACTGTTTTTGAGACCTGTTTGAGGGGGCAACCAACCGTTGTACATTTTTACTGAGAAAATGAACAATGATTTCTTGCTCTCCTCTAACAGGTTTTAAGAATGGTACAAAGGCCTGCGATGTCTGACACCTATTTCAGCCCCTATATACATATATGTATATATATATGCATATATATATATATATGTATATAATGTATATATATATATATATATATATATATATATATATATATATATATATATATATATATATATATATATATATATATATATATATATATATATATATATATATATATACAATTTTCATACAATAGTTTTTAAATACCTGTGTTAAAACGTTACACTTTTCATTAAGCTCAAAGATAGGAAAGTCCCAAGAATTAATTTCATTAAGTATTTCATCCACTTCTTTTGATGCAGCTGTTTCAAGTTCTATTTGCATTTCATGAGATGTTCTTCGACTATTTAATGAAGGTATCAACAAGTTTTCTTTATTAAAATCAACAGCATGGTCATTATTCAGGACTAAATCATGTTGAACATTTGAACTGACATGATGCTCAGAACATTCTGCATTAGAAGTGCTACTAGGAACAAAATTAGAAAAACTATCACTATTTATCTTTACTGTTTCTGTTTCACTTGATTCCCTGATTTCTACATACTCTGACAAGCTTTCTAGTCGTGTTTTACTTTTTTTATCAGCCTCTGATTTGTTAGAATCTTTGACATTTATTTGTCCTTCTAATTCACAAGCGCTATGCGATTCTTCAATGCTATTATAATATGTAGGACAATTGTTGGATACCTCAATTTTAAACATATCTTCATCAGGGGGTTGATTTATTATTGATAAAGGACTTCCACATGGAGAACGAATTTTTGTATACGAATTTTTTTCAAGTTCTGAAAATATATTAGAGTGCGATAAAGAACGAACCGACACATTTTTACTGAAACTATTATGTACATTTCTTTTAGAATAATATTCCATGTCAATGGTTGGCATTCCTGTTGCTGATGTTGTAGTGGTGTAACTGCTAGACATTCTACGTGATCCTAAGTTTCTATGCATACGCTAAACAAAAAAAACTAAATTTAATATTATTGTTTTTTTATAATAACAATTATTATTTTGTATTAGTATTCTTAATACATTTATCACACATTCCTCTCTTTTAATTGGGGACTATATTTGTACATTTGTACATTTACAGGAACAAAAAAATTTATTCAAGTGTATATTTACCCATGAGATCCTATTAATAATTCACCTCAATCAAATATCATCCATTGGTTTTGCTTACTTATGCTATTTTGCTTACTTATGCTTACATTTACTTTGTTCAGCTTACAAAATTGTGCTAATAAAATAAAATATTTTAAAATATGTTTATTCTGAGATAAAATTTGCTGCTTCAAAAACACGGAAAAAATTTTAACATTTAAATCTGTTTACCTTTTTTAAGGAAAGAGGTAAATCATCTTTAAAATCAGGTTGGTTCAACACCTGCTGTTCATCTTCTTTTGTTTTTTGTTTTTCAAACATTGTCACTAGTGGATTGGTGTATGTTTGGCGTTGAAATTCACTTTGCAAAAATGGAGAAAGCATATCAGCAATTATGCGAAGAGTTCCTATTACATTAATTGGTAATGATGAATCAGCAAGAAGATCAGATAACATACCATGAGCTTCACCAAGTGTGCTAAAGTCTACAGAACCTGAGCTGCATTTCTGAAGGTAAATAAATAATCAATCAAAAAAAAAAATTATGTAATAAATATATTATTATTAATGTAAATTTTTTTTATGAATTGCATAGTTGTTCAAAAATTAAATGTTAATATACTGCTCTGATAAGAAAGAACACAGTAATTCAATTTTCAAGATTTTGGCATAATACTATTTATCATTATTTTCTTGATCTGGTCTGAAAGTAAGAACACCGTATGTGATCTCCAAGTATCTGTTTTAGATGTTTTAATTTTACAGTATCTGCAGGAAATATAGCCAAAATTGGTAAGAAAACAATAATTTTACAAAATGGATATTTTGCAGATACTGTGTTATCAGGGGGTAGTATTCACATTGCAAGGTAGATATTTTATTTACAGATTTATACTTTAGAGTTTATTTATGTAAAAACTTTTTTAAACACAAATTTAAAAAATTAACTTTTTCTCTGTGTTTTTACAACATTTTTTTTTTAGATTTTTTTATAAAGCATGATTATTATTTTTGAAATTTGTATCTAATTTTTCTTTTTTTAAAATGTTGAAATATATTTTGTTAAAATTATACACTATTTTAACTATTTATACAATTTTATTATTTATTTATAACCTTTGTCTGATGTTTAAGTATTTAACCATTTAAAATAATTTCTGTTATAAAACTTTGTGACTTGTGAGTGTTATTTTATTATATAGTACACATTTATGGTGGGATCAAATATTAGCAGTAAAACCTGAGTAGCTATATTTTTGCAATGTTTAAATTTAAAAAGCAAAGCAAACCATGCAAATAAATATTAATTTAGGGACAAATAAATAGCCTAAAAATATTTTTAAGGAACCAAAAGCTGTAACAAAAACAGAAGTGGAAACAATTAAAATTACATATCCAGACATGTGATACATAATCAATGTATAAAATGAAATTCAGATTTTATTTTAAAACAAATATATTTTATAAATCTTGTGTTAGTTACTCAGAAAACAATTTTTTTAATTTTATAAGTTTATAAGTTTTTAACATTTTGAAAACAAAACTATTTGTTCAAATTTTTATAAAACTTCATTACAAAATGGCATAAGAAAAGTGATTAACAAAAAATTCTTAAACATGCAATATGATCATTATAATTTATGATTGGTTCTTAACTAAAGATTTAATAATATGGAAAGAAAGTTCAAAATTCAGATTGAAAGAGAAAGTATTAGGGAAGAAACTTTATGGGAAGGCATTTATTTAATAAGTTGAATTTGTTTCACAGATGTTTGATAAAAAAACAAGTTAAACAGAACTAAAATTTATTATTTAAAAAAATTTTTCAAAAAACTTTTAAAATTTTATTGTTTTAGTGTCCATCTGTTATCCTTTTCTTAATAATGAAACCTAAATATAACTAATAAAATCAAATCAAAACAAAAAATGAACAAAACAAGAAAACATAAACAAAAACAAAAAAAAAAACAAAGAGAAAAAAGATGGTATTGGATTTAAAAATAAAGAAACAATGTGTATTTTAAAACATGTTTGTATTCAAACTCAACTTTGAAAAAAGACAACATAATAACAAAAAACTTGATAAAATGAAATAAATTTCTTTTTATCACAGTATAACTACAATTATGAAGCCTTTTATAATAAAATGAAAATTAATAGCCATTTTATGAAGACAAGTAATAAAAACTGGATTTTTTGGCAGAAAAATCAGAATGTCATCATGAAGGTGACTATTTTTTAGATCAAAATCAAATAAAATTTATGATAAGAAACCATTTATAACAACTAAGAAAAAAATAATAATAATAATCCAAACATCATTTAAAAGGTTATATAGCATATAAACCTGCTTTTAGTAATTTAGCATTTAGCTATTGTAAAGCTTTAAAAAGGAAAACAAAACTTTTAAAAGCTAAAGTACTTTGAAGATAACCTTTAACATCTTAGTATGTTGCCAAAACATTTATAAATATTTTTAAAATTATATATACATTTTTAAATAAAAAAAGATTAACTTTTATTGAAACAGAAATGTTTTTTTTAATTTTTATCTTTTTAGAAATTTAGCTAACATATTCTTAGATCAAATATTTTGGACACACAACACACATACACACATATGTATACAAACTTAATTAGTAATAAAATGTTTATATGTATAATGTCTAAAACAGTCCTTGATGGAAAAAGAACAAAGATGAACACACTATTTCATGATAAATGATCAATGATGAATACATAATTCTTAAAAAGTTGAATAGTTTTAAAATATATCTTTTTAATGGTAAATCTAAGTATCTTGAAAAAAATATTTAAATTTATTATTGCGAAAAAAAATCTCAATGTAGAAAGAAATTATATGTTCCAGTATTTAAACAGTTTATTTTATGAAGATATACTTGATGTCAACCATTCATCCAAGCATAAATCATTTACAAAATTAAAACATCAGAAAAAACAAAGTTTTCTACGTACTAATTATAGCACCCATAACTAAAAACACAACATTAACTTGTTAAGTTATACAAATAACTTTTTCTCAGACTATGTTTGATTAATCAATACATTTCAAATATTATTTACAAGATGTCAACAGTTTAAAATAAGAAATAAAAACAAACCTTTTCTTGAATGAAATCCTCTTTATTTTTACGACTCTTAAATGAGTTAAAAATTCTAATAGGCCAACTATGTTTTTTTGGTGAATAAGTTTGAGTAGCTTTATCAATCAATTCATTATTGAACTTTAATCGACTACACCGCAAACACATCATTATTTCTATATTCAAACTATTTGATGAAAATTTCCTGCGCCCTTTAGCTAAACAATGACTTACGTTATTCATTGTTTACAATTAAGAGGCACCATCATAAAATAAATTTTGTTCTTATAAATCTTACTAAAAATGCATGAAAGTAAAATTTAAAAATTATTAAGAAGTGGAACAAAAAAATACAAGCAAATCTGCATACTCATTGATAAAAACTTCAAGAGAAAATTTATAAAAAATATATCAAATTGTATTATAAGAACATTAATCAAACTTTTGTTCTGCAACATTTAAAAGATTTTAAAAAAAGAAAAATATTTTTATAGAAAATGTTTTTCAAAATGAAAATGAGAATTAATTATTAAAGAAAAAAGATATCAGTTAAATTTTGTGATTTCTTTTTTAACAAGCAATTCATCATAAATGAATAATGTCATTCCATTTAAATAGGCAAATGAATGTAAGAAGAGTTTGC